TCTCTCTCTCTCTCTCTCACACACTCTCTCACTCTCTCCCTCTCTCTACCTCTCTCTCGCTTTATGTAGACACATGTATTATAAAATTTTAACTAGATGTAAATAAATATATAATAATATCTGTATATCTATATAGAGATATGAAAATTAAAAATTGTACACACTATACATTTAGATTTGTTTTTGTATTACTGAAAAGAAACCTGCTAAGACTTTTGCAGGCACTTGGTACTTTCCAGTGAAGGTTTGTAACTCTGCTCCCTGAATCATTTGCAACCAATTAAAGCACGATCCAACTTCCTTATTTATTCCCCAGCACTTCTAAGCGCTCAAAAGAAAATGAGGGTTGTAAAGAGCCTGCAGGATTATAACGCAGGCTAATTCATCACCGGAGAGATAAAACTTGCATCTGTGTATAACAATAAAGCAAAACTCCCCATATTCTGCCCCCAGAGCCTGGATTTTTTTTTTTAGTTTTTTTTGCTGCTCAGATTTGCTTTTGGAGGATGGTGATGTTCTGCATGGCAAACTCCAGAATAGGAGATGAGCGGAGAAAGTTTGTTTACTTAGGAGACAGCCTGTCATCAAAGGCAACATGTTCTCCAAGATGCATAGCACCTGTTCACAACTAGCAGCAAAACTGCGAATTTGTCGTTTCTTATAAATGGAATGGAAGGCAAAGTGATCAGATGAGAGAAACAGAGAGAGAAACGCTGAGGGCTCTTAGAAGAGCTAGGAACACGTGTATTTGTGAAGCCATAGCCCTGATGAATGGGATAAAGTCATGGAAATATTACATAAGGGGTGAAATTTGTTAGAAAACTCTTGGCATATAATACTATATAGTAATAGTACTAATAATATTATTATAATATTATATAACTGTGAAATAACGTGTCCCTAAAATAATATGAACACTCCCTAAAGCAAACCAATGCCCAGAACACGTAATTTATATATCACAGAGGAAAAGAGACAGTTGTCAAATTGAATTATAACTAAATATGTTCAGCTCTCACCGCCCCAGTAATCCATATTTAATAGTTTATCTTGACCATAAAATCCCATTTGTGATGCCGGTATAAATTGAGTAGTATTTTTTTTTTCATAAATATTAATTAGGCTGAATGAAAGTTTACAACCACGTGTACGAAAGTATTTACTCTCCTTTTTCCCTAGCTTGATTCATTTCCAATCCCCAGAGCTTTAAATCAATCAGGTCACAAGATGGAAGCGGTCATAAAGCATCTCTGGGGATTATAATCAATTTATTTATATGGCCACTTAAACCGTGATGTTGTAAAAGGCAACGCAATGTAGTACTAAAAGTAACGAGTAAAATGTCTATAATATATCAAAAATGAGATTGCATGCAAAGGAGAAGCTTGTACTGACCTGTGTGAGTTCTTTTGTGGATTTTCAGGTTTTCTGACCTGGCAAAGACTTTCCCACAGCCAGGGAATGGGCAGGGGAAGGGTTTTTCCCCCGTGTGGACTCTGATGTGGTTAACAAGTTTGTATTTGGCTTTGAAAGGCTTGCCTTCTCTGGCGCATTCTTCCCAGAAGCAGATGTGACTGGATTGCTCGGGTCCCCCAACGTGCTCCACCGTGACATGGGTGACCAGCTCGTGCATGGTGGTGAAAGTTTTGGAGCAAAGTTTTTTGGGAAGCTGCTCGTCTTCTATCCACTTGCAGATGAGCTCCTGTTTGATCGCCTGCCTCATGTAACGGAAGAAGGCACCCGGTCCGTGGTGAGGAGCAAGGTTCATATTCAAGTTCATGCCAGTGTAGCCTTGAAGAGATGCAGAGGAGAAAGGATCTGTCCTAGACACTGATTGAGTGAAATGATCAGACCTGCTGCTGTACATATCTCCAGGTAGCCCCAATCTTATCTGTCCGTTTAGAGGCTGGCCACCTGGGGTTGCATGGGAATGCTGCTCATGATGAGGTCCAGAGAAGTAGGGATGGTTTCCAGGCTCCGTGTGGTGGCCATGCTGCCCGGGGTAGCTACCTGTCGTTGAGACAAACATGCCATGGTGAGATGTTGCCGCAGAGTGCTGTTCACTCAGCCCTGGCATCACTTGAACTGTCAGATCCCTGCCTATTAAAAAGTCCCTACCTGCAGGGATAGACTGAGCTGTGTGGGGGATACTGGAGTAGGAGACAGCTGCTGAGGGAGCCGGGACAAATGCTCCTGGTGGACTGGAGGCAGCCTCAGCCTGGCCTGCCATATGATGGTGGTGCTGGTGATGGTGGTGATGGTGGTGGTGGTTATGGGCAGGGCTGAGTTTGAGGGCCGCTGGATGATGCCCCATGTGTTCTGGCCGGAATGCAGGACTTGGCCCTAGGCGAGAATCAGCAGCATACTCCCCAGGGTGCACATGAGCCATTGAGTGGGAATGACCCACGTACCCCGGGAAGCCTGTCATAGTCTGAGGGGGGTGGTGGTGATGATGATGATGATGAGCCCCTGCCAAGTCTACTATTCTCAGCGCCGGGTTCCGTTTGGAGAATGCAGGGTCCATCACTGTGTTCCCCAATGCCTCCACACTTATTGCAGATAATTCTACAATCACCTGTCTGTGGGAAAAGAATAAAATAAAAACTTTTTTTCCCGAAAGTTTTTTCAAGTTTTTTTTTCTTTTATGTCTAAGTGGAATCCCCTACGCTTGAGAAGCAGCAGCAGGAAGCATTGAGGCACTGAATAGAGATTCACAGACACTGCTACTGCCCAGAGAGCTCAACAATAACCGCTCTCTACCATTGGCTAGCTCCACATGATTGACGTCATCGCTGACAGGTCCTGCTGGAGACTGAATGGATTAGTCGGGAGAGGGGGGAGGCACAGCACTGCGCCTGCGCACAACTGGGCACCATGCCTTACTCCCCCCTCACACAAACAACACTGTTGCCTGGTGTTTTCGGACACTCTTTTTTTTCCTTTATTTGTTTTTTGTTATTCAAACAGACCAAAATTTGAAAGATAAAAACGTAAAGGGAAATATTTTTACTAAACACAATAAAAATATGTTTTGCTTATTTTTTTTCCTGCTGTTCATTTTAAGGATCTGTACTAATTATGTAATTATATTAAAGATCTTTTCGTCTCTAATTTGCAAATTAAGAAAAAGTTGAAGTAACTGTTGAAGTTGCTTTCACATTGCAATACATTTCACAAGGCCGTCTCATTGTCACTACTTACCTGGGCGAAATACTTGAGAATATAAATTAAAATCATATATCGCCATGTCTGCTACAATTAAAGTCTATTGGACAAAAAGGACAGGCCACCTATACAAAATATTATATATATCTAGACATGAAATTATGTGTGTGCATATGTGTATACGTTTGTAGAAATTATAAACTCCTGCTCTCCCCAAAATTGGTCACATTAGACAATCTGCATTTATTTGTCTCCGAATTAATGTATGTATTTTATAACCCCTAGCCTAACTGTGAAGGTATCAAAGCACAAGTAGGTTCGCATATCTGCAATTATTGCTGTTATACAAGTGATCAAAAATAAATACCCACCAATTGAACGTAACATAACCTGTTTAGAAAGTATGCATCTGCTTTTGTGCAAAGGTGTTTCTTTTTAATTAATTGCAGGATTAAACTTTTTTCCAGCTATACGGATTCCGTATCTCCATACTGCATCATACTTACACAAACATTTAATAACTCTACCGATTTCCTGGCAGGAAATTGACATAAAGAGATACATACGGGGGAAATCCTTTCTTTTCATCTCAAAATGTACAGTATCGACATATTAATAATTAGGCAACAAAAGAGCGATATCTAGATAAACAAGAAATACTGACACCACCTACTTAATAGATCAATAGCTGTATATAAGACAACGGTATGTCGATAAATGCATTTCAGATTTGCCATCAGTAATAATGACAAATAATCAAGGGCTAAGTAGGAATGACTCTTTAGCCATCGTATTTCTTCATTTTAGTGTCATTCGTGTTTACACATACATAGAGAATAGCACACACACAAGAACGTTGGTGAGATCCAAAACAGCGTATCCCCTTTATTGGAATGAGAATGGGAAAGATTGCATGTTACATTTTACACAAATGCAGAAGACAGAGGATGGGGGTTCATAGCATGGCATTGGCAACTTTAAAGCCTGGAAATAAAGTGTTAGTCAACTTTGTGGAGGTAACTTGTAGAGTCATCATGCGGATAGAGATCTTACCTAATTATAATGCGGCCTGCTGCACGCCTGGTGATTTCATATACTGGTCTGTGCATGAGCCAGGGCCTCTTCTTATGTGACTGCTCAGTGGAGACACAAAACATCTGGGGTAGTTGTCTGTTCTCTTAGAGAATGCGTGTGATTTTTTTATCAACAGCAAAACACCAACAAAACATGGAAACATCTTACAAACATATTGTAACATCAAAAACATAAAGCGATTTTTGGGCTTGGAGTCACTGCTAGGTAACACATCAATTATGTCATCAATTCCCCCACCCAACACACACACACACACACACACACACACAGATCTGCACCTCAACGTATACATAAATACGTTTTAACTACTTTTGTTTGTCCAAAAATCTCTTCCCTATAGTTGGGAATGATACCTGAGTTATCACATCAATAACATGTAATCTGTTATATCTCTAAATAAGTTTGTATCTTTATGAGTGCGGAACTAATGCATTTAGAGCTGAATGATGCATACACGACAATTTGAAGTGCTCCGAATAACAAACTCTCGGTGTCATATGTTTGCAGCACTCGGCTGTGTTTGCGCTCTATTTGCGCTAGTGGCGCTAGGGTAAACGCACAGGGTGTAGTAAGTGGAAGATCAGTACTCCTTGCCTAGGGTAGGTGACAGATCAGCTTTCAGATTAAAGTATCTCTGTCAAATGAGGCGTCAGTCACCAGCCACTACTCAGGGCTCATTGTGGAGAGACCTGGTAGCCACCACATTGTGCAAGCATGGTATCCGATGGTACATATCATGTAAACCCCATCAGCAAGATCAAAGTGTTCTTTTTTAATAAGATCCAATACATGTCAAACCTCATTCCAATCAAATCGTCCGTAAATGAATTCCAGATGAATATGTCATAGAGCAATGTGACAATGCAGTCAAACAGGGTCAGGGGTAGATGTTACAATGAGAGAGCCGTCAAATATTAATTCTAGGATCTCCAAATGAATGACCAGCGAGCGGGATTAAGCACATTCTAGTGGCGGGGTGTTATGTCAATGATTTGTGTAGGTGCAAGTTAACTGGCAAACAAAGATCCAGAAATATATGGTCCCCCCTGAGCCCCCACCAGGGGCATATTTTAAACTTACTTGGGATCTTCATTATAGCTCTGAGATGTCCTAATATTTTCCTGCCTTAGGGGGATGAAGCAAGCCATCCTGAGTAACTCTCAGCAATACTATGGGAGCTGGTGCAGGGTCCATCCTGGAAAATTGAAACATATTTAGATGTTTTAATACGTAATACAGCAGGTCCATTTCCTCTGACTGTTTAATAATGCACGTTTTATTGGATCTTGATGTACTTAGCCAAATCTAAATGGTATGGCACACATTTGAAGCATGACCAGTCTCTGCATGCATATTTCCCAGAAGGATTTCTGACTATGATTTTCAATGTACTGGTCATGTTTCCACTTACTGATGGCACACAGCTAGAGATTCCTGCTCGCATTCCTTTGGATTTTGTGCTCTTCTTAGTACAAGGCTCGACTGTAAACCTGGTTACAAGGCGCGCAGTCAGCTTCACTTACAAGTTACTAATGTGAATACACACACACACACACACACACATCACAACAAAAGACACACATTCTATTTATATTATATTTCATAATCTGCATTGTACTCATATGTAAAGTATGTACTCATATGTAAAGTATGTACTCATATGTAAAGTTGGGTATAGAACAAACACACCATACAAACACATCAAAAAAGTCGTGCAATCTTCATTGATTTAAACAATGTGCACTGTATTTTTTGTGCATACATAGCAAACACACACACGCACATTATACAAGACATGCAATATATATGTGTATATCTATATTTTACACATATAGATATACACATATGCTTTTCCCCAGCTGTATAGTAAATGCAGAGGGATGGGTATGGGCCGATAAAGGAGATAAGAATGTTTACGCATGTGTGAATGTGCACTTCAATTATCCAATCGTGTGAAAAGCAAATTTCAATGTTTATTTAATCTGCACATGATTGTTTAATTGAAGCAAATATGCACACATTTATTGTGTGACCATTCTGGATTCCCTTAGTAAACCAGCCTCACAGAGTATAGAAATGAAAGCCTAACTCCTAAGTACTAACACTATAGAAAATAATACCACTGATAATACGATAGATGCCTTTGTCTGATCTTTAAAACAGAATACAGACAGTATTATGCCTGTTCCTTTTCTTTTTTTTTAAATGCAGTAGCAATGTTTGTGCTACGTTTTAAATGGAGCATTTGTTGTTAACATGCATCTCGTAGAGTTGAACTTGCGCTGTGCTTTGTGTCCATTTTAAAACGCATCATTTGGTCTACATATGTTTGAAATATTTCTCGGCGTGAACAGAGTGAGAATGTACAGTTGGGAATAGTCGATATGTGTTAATGCATTTACAGAAGTTTTGTGAACATGTGCGATCATGAGAGAGGAAGAAAGGAAGAAAGGAAGAAAGAAAGAAAGAAAGAAAGAAAGAAAGACATACCTAGACATATGTGCCTCGCTATCTATCTATCTATCTATCTATCTATCTATCTATCTATCTATCTATCTATCTATCTATCTATCTATCTATCTATATATATATATAGTTTGGCTCATGACTTGCTCTGTACTTTTTGGGAATGCTTTAGCTTCCACGGACTTCAAAAGACATCAATGCAGAGTGAATGAAGGGAAACTGTTCTTATTGGGAACAACTTGCTGCTGTTGACACTTTGGGACGTGTCTCATATAACAGCACCTGGATAAACTTGTTGCAATGTTTGGTCACACAAGGCAGGTCCATATGTAAAGCAGCTCTGTGCAAGTGTGAAGACAGCCTAATGATGGAACAAACCTTCTGTCCTATGACTGTACATAAAGCATCACTGTACTGGGGTCTGGGGGTAAGAGGTCAAACTCTAAGGCATTTCAAAAGTCGGTGACTTCAATAGATTTATCCTTCAACACTATCTAGAGCTAGTACCTGCATTTCCAGCAACAGAAAATACAAATAAAAAAGGGAAGGAGGGCCTATTATTTTTTTTGCGTATCTCTTTAAAACAAAAGGCAGCAACACACACAGAAGTCTAGATTGCAGAGATCATTAACTTCGCACTTCTTGGCACTCATCATCATCTTGCCCTAAAAAAAGATTGCACACCCAAATGTATCTGCTAATTTGGCATTATTTCGCATTAGAGCAGAGAACAATCAGATCCTCCCCCATTATGGGGAATAAAACAATCGCAGACTTAATTAAATCTGATAAGCTCCTTAAAAGCTCTCCTTGCCTTTACCAGTATCCGTCTAGCTTTATGTGACCTGTTTGCCCTCCATAAATGCAGAAATCATCTGTCTTGTCATCATCCTATAGGTGGAGATGGAAGAAAACACTTGTGTCAATGCATCATATACTGACTTTTGAAACTGAGTAAACAAGTGTAAAACGTATTAATCAGTGCGGACAATGGAGCTGGTAATTAAATATAAAAGCCAATGAATTGATTCCTTCTTCCCTCCATCCTAATTTTCCATCCCGAGGCGATGCTAAGATGAAATCTTTTGAAAGCTGTAGCGGAAGCTTGTTCTTCCCATTCCCACACCTATTGGCATGGAAATAGAGCCCTAACCTATTCTCACCTAAGATATTCTTTTTCTTACTGATTATTGCTATTAAAGGCTGACACAAAAGATTTTCTGAACAAACATTCCATGTGAAAGGCTATCTGTATTGCTGGTCCATCTACATGAGAGAGGATGGAAATGGGGCTGGCCAAGGCTAGGCTATGTAAAGAGAGCTGGCCTCACCACTGCTGGCCCCTAGCCTGTCTTACCGTGGCTTCTCCTCCACCTGTTAACAAACGGGCTTCAGATCTTCTCAGGACTTGAGGGGTAACACCAGTACACTTTGCTGCTCCTCCATGCTGTCATCCTTCATTTCTTCCTTTTCTGGCTTTCTGAAATCAGTTAGGGGAAATCATGATGAGGCAGAAATGAGCCGTCTGGATGATATTTTAATGGCTTATATTGTCACGTTGGTGCATGTGGCTTTGAACTAGCACAGCTCTCCTTCCCTGCAGAGAGCGCCGCAAATCCCACTTGATAACTTCTGCAACTTTTTTTTTTCTTCCTGGAAGTTTAGACACATTCCCTAAATATCCATTAACCGATCTGCATTGTAATGGATCTCCACACCTCTCCTGATCCTATAGGACAAAATAGCAACATTTCTAGGTCCAAATGGGTTAGCTTCTGCATATGGGCTACTATAGGGGCATTCAAGTATATAGGGGAGGACTGCCTGCATGCGTGTTTACATATATGAGTGTGTATTAAAGGTATTCACATAGATATGTGAATAACTGCATGTGTATATATGTATGTGTGTACTATGGGCATATAACAACATATGACTGTCTACATGTATATATATATATATATATGTATGTGTGTGTACTATGGACATATACATATATATGTGAAAGACTGTCTGCATGTGTTTATATGTATGTGTGTGTGTTTTTTTAAAATGTGCATATGCATATGTGAATGACTGTCTGCATGTGTTTATATGTATGTGTGCTTTTTATGGGCATATACATTTATATGCGAATGACTGCATATGGGCATATACATATGCGAATGACTGCATATGGGCATATACACATATATGAATGACTGTCTGCTTGTGAATATATGTATGTGTGAGTATTGTGTTACATATCTGTATTATTGTTATTACATATATATATTTTACATATATATGTAAATTACTTTTTGCAAATGTGAACATATGTGTGTGGTTATCTATCTATCTATCTATCTATCTATCTATCTATCTATCTATCTATCTATCTATCTATCTAACAAACTGTATGACACCTTGTTTCCAGCCATTTTTTATGACACATGTGTACACAGAGGATGCGATGTGTACATGCTGTGTACCGTTGTCTATCCCGGTATATGGCGATGGAAGGCAGAATATTCAGCGAACAGGAATGCTGATCTCCACCGCCCTGGAATGTGGCTTCTCATCAGTGGCTTTTATGAATAGGATATGTTAAGTGAGACCATTTCTATTTTAATTAAAGTGCTACCTGCCCTGCACTGTTTACAAAGTATTCCTTTTGAAAAGACGGCCTAAAGTTGCATTGTGAATGAGGAGTGAGAGTTTGGAGTTTAGATTCTGCTGCTGCAAGGATTCATTGAGGCAGCTAACAAAGGCTAAATGGAATGATTCCGATCCTGCTTCAGCTTTTTTTAGGCTTCTATTACTAGAAAATAATTACAGCTAATGAATATGCAGAGGAGGGAAGAATGGCTGAGTAAATAAAAGGCCAGGGACAGTTTACAATGTTCAGATCAAGAGTCCTGCCAGGGACATTTTACAATATTCAGACAAAAAAAAGTACTGCCAGGACCAATCTGCATCAGTCATTAAAAAAAAAGTCCTGCCAGGGAAATTCTACAGTATTCAGATAAAAGTTAGACGAAGAGTATTGCAAGGGACATTCGCAGGATTCAGATACAAAGTACTGCCAGGGACATTCTATAATATGCAGATGGAAATTACTACCAGGGACGTTCTGAAGGCACATTCTGCAATTTGTAGATACAAAGTCACGCCAGGGACATTGTACAATAGTCAGATAAAAAGTCAAGTCAGAGACATGCTGAAAAATTCAAATAAGCATTGCCAAGTTCATCAGATAAAAGTCTGCTCGGTGTATTGGAAGCAGGGGAAGCCTATGACAACATCCAAGACTACTTTCCAGCCTAGTCTGGGCTAATGCAAAGTCACATATTCACACCATTGAAAAAAAAGAAATCACTTTAATATATGATCATGGCTGCTTTTGTACACAAGACAAAGAGAATATATGGTCATAGACAGGTTAATCGAGCTTTGCTGCAAGAAAACAAGCAAGTGTTGTATGTTTGCACTGAATGCAAAGGTCTGTATTTTCCTGAGCAAATCAAAGGGAGTGTTAGTCCTTTTCCTGCTCACTCATCTGAAGGTAAGTACATTTTCTCTGGCGATCAAAAGCCTGGTCACTAACAAAGGCAGCCAATGCTGCTTCCACCGTCCTGGTGTGGCTAGTTGGGAAATTTCAATAATTCTGACAAGGGTGACTGATTTGTGAACTACACAAAAAAAGTTTCAATGTCAGAAAATTTACACTGCGCCATTTCTAAACGATTTGAAAAACGAAAAAAAGAGAGAGAGAGAGAGAGAGGACAAAAAAATAAATCCAGACACACTTCAAATAAAATATTAAAAAGAGAACGCCAAACTGAAGCAAATGAACGGCCAGAAAAAAAATAAAAAAAAATAAAAAATAATCACAAATAAAAAAAAAAAAAAAAAATCCCACCCCTCTGTGTTGTGATGGGTACAGAATACAAGGACTGAAAAATGGCAAGACATGGAAATGATATCCAGAAAATTCACCTCCCTGGAAATTGTAAGCATACTGATAGACTCGTATGGAGCTTGGGAAGGTGAGAAGGAAGCTCGGGACAGGAGGCAATGTGGATGGATATTGTGAAAATTAAAGGGAGTGTAGGTCTAGGATGAAAGAAGCAAGAATAAGATGTGGAGAAATGAAGTAAAGGGGGTCTTGGAAGAATTTTTTTTCCCTCCTGTAGAATTTGGGCAGGGAGGAAAAAAAAAAAAGTTGCTACTCCTAAAAACATTGTTTGTCATAAGCAGTGTCAGCCTCCCTTACAATACCTGGGATTGATGAGTGGAAGCAGCCAATCCGGAGGCGTCTGGGACTCTGGGAGTCCTTAGTTGGAGAGGCAGGGGTGAAGGGGGAGAGGGCCAGGACCAATGGGCGCTGACGTCCATCCGCACGTGACTCCGCCCCCTCCTCCCATTCATCAAGGGGGGAACGAGTCGTCCTTTCAATTCATTTATCTGCAGGAATGATTGCCGCTATCAGTCTCCAGCTCAACGCCCGGCTGAGGAGGTGAAAGTTTCTCCCCAGGAAGATAAACCGCAAAAAGACAATATTGTGCATGATTTGCAGAAAAAAAGGAGTGTTGTGGAGAGAAGTGCAAGAAAATTGTCTTTCCCAGAATAACATTCCCATGCAAGAAGCCAGATCGTCCTGTGCTGCGATCTCTCTGACAAGTTGTGCTGCCATCGCTGAGATCTGGTCGCCCATGTGAAGAAGAGGAAGAATTGCGATACAGATCGATCTCCTCCTGTGTGTGCTGGCTGAGGGGGACCCCTCTTCTCCTTGTGCGTTTGTTGTGGTCAGGCGATCGCAATGCTTCTGGACGCGGGACCCCAATACCCAGGCATAGGAGTCACCACATTCGGCTCCTCCAGGCATCACTCCTCCGGCGACGTGACGGACCGCGAGGTGGGTTTGGGCATCAACCCGTTTGCCGACGGCATGGGCGCCTTCAAGATCAACCCCAGCAGTCACGACCTCGCCTCGGGCCAGACGGCGTTCACCTCGCAGGCTCCGGGCTACGCTGCGGCGGCTCTGGGGCATCATCACCACCCTGGCCATGTCAGCTCCTACTCCAGCGCAGCCTTCAACTCCACCCGGGACTTTCTGTTCCGCACTCGGGGCTTTGGGGAAGCCGCCAGCGCCCAGCAC